ATGAAGTGGATGAAGTCTACTGTAAATAGTGAAACAGAAAACAAGATAATATAATAAATAACAAGCAGTTGTGGCTGTTATATGTAAAAAAAAACTATAGCATACCTGTGGAAAATCGTTAAAAATAAGGATTGTTTCGCAGTTAAAGCAAACTATATTCAAAGCTTGTCGCATTTTCACTATATCTGTACTTTGATCATTTAAATAAACATATGCAAATCGTGCAAATTTCGCATATTTCATTGCCATAAGCATATAGCGAATTCGTGGATCCTCTTTGCTGCCGAAAATTACGACCGAAATCTGCAAATATTACCTACACATATAGCAAATGAGCACCAAAAAGGTTAAAATAATTTTATTAATTTACAAATTTTGTAATTCTCATCTCTCACCATCCTCTCTGTCCATCTCTTTTCGTCTGTTCCTGATATATCTTCCCATTAATATACCTTTTATTACTGGGCCGTACGCGGGAATCACGCATAACGGGGGGTTGAATTTGACAAATTTAAGTTGTAGATGAGTATTGAACATTTCCTGAAAGTTTCAGCCTCCCAGCTTCCCTGGTTCCTGAGCTAGTAATTTTCGCGCCAGTAAAGAAAAACGCTGAAATTGTAATAAAAAATAACGAGTAATTGAGAGATAAAAACAAACTCTGTTGAATGTCTTCCACTGATCAACAAAGCGCCGTAAACCATCGTGATTTGTAATTTTGATTAGGAATGTATTTGGAATAACATCACGTGCAAATATTCGTAATCCTTTCGCAGAAAGAGCTGTAAAAATCAAATCAACAGAAATTCAACAGGTAATTGATAAACGTAATAGGCAGGAAATCTTTATTAAAATTCGGCTCGGCTCGGCCGGCATCATGCAGTAAAATTCGGCTCGGCTCGGTTCGGCCAGCGTCATATACGATCCAGTGCCAATGCTGGGCCGTTACTCTCTCTCTCAATTGGCGCGGTGTTGCTTGCCGACGCCGCTTGGCACTTTGCCAGGGATGCCGGGTAACGCTACCCAGCGCACTTCGGTTGAAACGCAGCGTGCTGATGGCAAAATTCAAGACGAAAAAACAGTAATGTAAAACCACAAATCAAGAAAATCTCGAAACGGCTAAGTTTTCTCTATCGAGAGGACCATCAGGAGGCAAAATGAGTGTCAGAATCGCCATTCCGCTGACCATCAGGCAATGCAACTTGAAAATTTGCATGTTCTAGGCTGGGGATTTGTAACTGATCCAAGCAAAACTATGGTTGTGAGAAGCATTAGGAAGCATTCATGTGCGATTTAAAAAACTAAAAATTTTGCAATTTTGCGAAACAAAAACATGAAACTTGAACATTCGGACTTCATCTAAAAATAAGCTGAATTTAGTACCTTCGGAAAATTGCTCGATATTCAAAACACAGTATCAAAACAAAAAATTATTTTCCAACTGACCCAGTCTGCTTA